AGCTGTGTTGTCTGGATCACGCAGACCCTGCTGGGAGAGGACTCTTAGAAGTGGGGCAGAGCTGGTGTCCTGGAGAGAGTGGACCATGACCCTCATTGTTCCAGTTCTTCTGATCTTAGTAGCTGGATCGCATCTTCTACTTCCGTGGGATCCTGAGTTGCGACTCTTGCCTGGGATGGACATCCGCGAGGACCCACCCCCCTGGCTGGCAGTTGGTCCCTGGACTCTCCTGCCTCTTACCTTTATCTGGCTGTTTTGATTGTATGAGGGAACTCCACAAAGTTCATGGGAAATGGAATTAAAAGATAACCTTGTTTTGATGCATAAAACATTGAAATCCATGTAGTTTTTTCATAATATGCATTTTGCATGAAATTTTTGAAGACCGCTGCTATGGTTATACCATTCTTTAACAAGTTTATTGATGGACATATAGTTAGCTTTCAGTCTTGCTATTAAAGACTAAATTTCTTTTTTAAAGATTTATTCAGTTGAAAGATGGAGTGACAGGGGAAAGAGAAAGATCTTCCATCTTCTGGTTCACTCCCCAAATGGCCACAACAGCTGAGGCTGCACCAAAGACCAAATTTCAAAGCACAGGACATGTGAAATAAACTTTCTGGCATAAATTTCATGTTCATCCTACAAATACTCCTTCCTTTCTGAGAAGGAAAATAGTCTGGCAGAAGCTGGCTTTCTCACATCAACTTCCAACTAGGCTGTCTTGAGGCTTGGGGGCTAACTTGCTCACCTCTGGCACCTGGATGGGTGGCAGCACCTCTGGGTGTGTTCCCTCGGTGAGCCGCTTTGTGGTCACTCAGTTTTCCTTGCTGTGAAATGCAGATGCATGTGAAGATGGGAAAGGGAAAAACTGCCTTCGCTGAGGGGGTATTTGGAGAGTTTCTATTTTTGCTCCAAGAAAACCAGAGGAAGACCCCTTACCCCTTGGAAATGAGCCCCCCCAGCCCCAGCCCCTTCCCCCTACTCCCAGTTCCCCCTGGTTTATTTTTATTTATTTATTTTTTTTATTTTATTTTATTTTTTTTTGACAGGCAGAGTGGACAGTGAGAGAGACAGAGAGAAAGGTCTTCCTTTGCCGTTGGTTCACCCTCCAATGGCCGCCGCGGCCGGCGCGCTGCGGCTGGCGCACCGCGCTGATCCGATGGCAGGAGCCAGGAGCCAGGTGCTTTTCCTGGTCTCCCATGGGGTGCAGGGCCCAAGCACCTGGGCCATCCTCCACTGCACTCCCTGGCCACAGCAGAGGGCTGGCCTGGAAGAGGGGCAACCGGGACAGAATCCAGCGCCCCGACCGGGACTAGAACCCGGTGTGCCGGCGCCGCTAGGCGGAGGATTAGCCTAGTGAGCCGCGGCGCCGGCCTTCCCCCTGGTTTAAAAAGCTTTCTCTGTCTCAGTTTGGTGATTTGCTGGCCTCTCCTGTGCGCTCATCTCGCTTCCCTGTGTCTTTCAAGGTTTCGCTCCTTTCATTCTGGACTGTAGTAGTTTTCCCATATTACAGGTAGAGCATTTTAAACAGAAATTTACCAAAAAGATGAAATGAAATGAGAGTTCAGGTTGGAGTTGTGACTGGCAAGACTTTCCAAAGACGGTTCTAGCTTTCCACACATTTTCCAATATTTCTTTATTTATATGAAAGACAGAATGACACAGGAGAAAAGAGACAGAGATCCTCCATCCGCTGGTTCACTCCCCAAATGTCTGCAACAGTCAGGGCTGGGCCAGGCTGAACCAAGCGTGTCAAACTCCATCCAGGTCCCTCACATGGGTGGCCAAGGCCCAAGCATGTGGGTCATCTTCTGCTGCTTTCCCAGGTGCATTAGCAGGCGGCTGGATTGGAAGTGGAGCAGTAGAAGTCAAACCCCATCTCTGATACAGGATGCAGGCGTCTTAAGCATTGACTTAACCAACCCCATTCCCACACATTTTGAATTGGAATGGCCAGGGTTGACTGTGCTCTATTTCATTAGTCCCTCACAACCTCTCAGATGACCTTTGCCTTGTGTAGACGTGACCTTGAGAAGCTCAGAGTTTCTAGTGGGCCAGAAGTGGTCTTCTCCTCGCTTCCAAGGGAGGCGATGTACAGAGTGAGGACTGCATGTCCAGGAGGAGACCAGGACCTGTGCTGGTGACAGGAAAGCCCTGGGTACAACTGGGCCTTCCTTTCTGCCCCTTGAGGCAGCAGTAGTTGTGGGATGTGAGGAGTTGGGGTCCTGGATGGCCACTTGATTGGGTCATCAAACTCGACTCCGATGTCTGTCCTCCTTGGACTTCCAAGGACTCCCTTCGCCCTCTGGATGTATCCCAGCTCCAGTGGGGTCCGTGGTGGACCCCTGGGGGAACCCTGCCCTTTTCTGCTATCACTGTTTACTCCATTAACTGCTCTCCCGGGCTAGGCCAGGCACCCTAAACCACACACAGTTCCCATCATCCCCTCTGGAATGTGGGGGTTGGTGCCACTCCAAGATGTCCATTGTGTCGCAGCCTTGTCCGATGTCATTGACCCGTAGGCCTGTCTGCCTACTTGACTGGCAGCCCTTGGGGATGAGCTGTCTCAGTGACTGTTTGCAGCTCTGAGCCCAGGGCTTGTGACCAGTCAGGCCCTGGTTAGCGTCAGCTGGGACAGATCGAGCCCCCAGCAGATGCGAGTGAACTAAAGGAGAAAGACGACTGGAAAGCCCTGGTCCACGGTCTGAGGCCTCCCATCAGTCTCCTTGCACCCTGCCACCTGCTCCCCGTGGCCTGCCAACACTTCCTGACTGTGCACCGGCCTTGGGCTAGGCTTGGGGCAGAGACGAGGGGCGGCAGGAATGTGAGTGAGCACTTGCTAACTGTCCTGAAGACACGGAGATGAGAATACCAGATGCACTCTGAAAAAATGTGTGAGCACTATAAACCCTCTGGAATGAGATGGAATGAGGAACACTCAGCCTTACGGAGGTGCAGGTTCTGCATCTGAGAATCCAACTAACCACCCATCAAAAGCATTAGGGAGAAAAAGTATATCTGTACCGAATGCATACAAAGTTGTGGGTTTTTTTTGTGTGTGTGTGTGTGTTTTTTTAAGATTTATTGTATTTATTTGAAAGACAGAGTTACGGGGAGGAAGGGAGACAGACAGAGAGAGGTCTTCCATCTGCTGATTCACTCCCCAAATGGCTGTAACAGCTGGGGGTGGGCCAGGCTGAAGCCAAGAGCCTGGAGCTTCATCTGGGTTTCCCACGTGAGTGGCAGGGGTCCAAGCACTTGGGCCATCTTCTACTGCTTTCCCAGGTGCATTAGCAGGGAGCTGGATGGGAAATGGAGCAGCCTGGACTCTATCCAGCATCCATTTGGGATGCTGGTGCTGCAGGAGGTGGCTTAAGCTGCTATACCACAACACGGGCCCCAGCATACAAAGTTTTATCTTGTCATTACAAGTGTACAGTCTTTCAACTATTTGCATCTCATTAACAGTATATTAGGTTTTGTGAGTAATCTGGAGATGATGTAAAGTACACGGGAGGATTTTTTTTTTTTAAGATTTATTTACTTATTTGAGAGGCAGAGTTATAGACACACACACACACACAGAGAGAGAGAGAGAGAGAGATCGGTCTTTCATGTGCAGGCTCACTCCCCAGATGGCCACAATGGCCGGAGCTGAGCCTATCTGAAGTCAGGAGCCAGGAGCTTCACCCAGGTCTCCCACACAGGTGCAGGAGCCCAAGGACTTGGGCTGTCTTCCACTGCTTTCCCAGGCCATGAGCAGAGAGCTGGATTGGAAGTGGAGCAGCCAGAACATGAACTGGCGCCCATATGGGATGCTGGCGCCACAGGCATAGGCTTAACCTTCTATGCCACAGCGCCAGCCTCTGTGGGAGGATTTGTGTAGACTTTATGCACATAATATCCTATTTTATATTAGGGACTTGAACATCCCTGTGAAATTCGGCATCCTTGGGGAGAGGGAGTGATCCTTGACCCAGTCCTCCACGGGTACGATGGGGGAACTGTATGGAACTCTGGGCGGATTAGTGTTCTGGCCTCTCTTCATTGTTGTGTACAGCAACACCTGGGCACTGGTTATAAATGTAGCACCTCGGACCCCACCAGACCTCCTGAATCAGAGCGTGTATTTTAGCAAGACCTCCCCTGCAGAATGCAAGGGCTCCTGGAGCCTGGGAGGTGCCAGTCCACAGTGGACAGTGAGCAGCCTGGGCGTGGGCTGCAGTGTGCAGGGAAGGCTGCCTCAGGGAGGGAGCAGTCATGGGGCTCGGGTTGGGCTAGACTCTCGGGAGGGGCTGGGACCCCAGTGCTTCTCCACATGGCCTGTGGCTCTCCTCTGGCTGTCTTAGACTTCCTCACAACATGGTAGCCCCGGACTTCTTACACAGCAGCCGCTGATTACAAGAGGGAGGAAGTGGAAGCCACCTGGAACTGGCACAGCATGGCTGCACCCCATTGGTCCAAGCGGCTGTAGCTCAGATGCAAGGGGAGGAGAATTAGACTCCATCTCTTGATGGGTGGAGAGGCGTGCGGGTACCAGGGGAAGGAATGGACTGGGCTCTCTTGGGAGCATCTACAGAAGGCTGCACGAGCTCACGAGGACCTCATGAGAACCCAGGCTCCTTCCTTCTGCCCCTCCACCCTCAGCCCTTGCTTCCTGCCACCTCCTGGTCTAAGGTGGCTGTTGGGGCTCTAGCCAGTAGGAACCGTCCCTCCGGGCAGGCAGCCTCACGGCCATGCTCCTTGTAAAGCTGCTCAGTAAGACAGCATCCAGGTTAGAAGTCAGAGGTCTGTTCTCAAGAAGGGAGAAGGCATATGGTGGCACCTGCCAGTCATTCTTTCCCCTTCCCCAAAGCCAAAACCTGTTTTGGGATTTTAAGGGAGCAGAAACCACAGCCAGGCCAAAGGTGGAGAACACGGGGAGGTGGGCCCCTGAGGAAGCCCCCCCTGGGACGCGCGCACCTGCTCGGCACCCCTCACGGCCTCTCTGCTCCCAGTTCACCACAGGCACGTGCGACGACTCGGTGGTCCACAGCTGTGACTTGTGCGGCAAGAGCTTCCGCCTGCAGCGCATGCTCAACCGCCACCTCAAGTGCCACAACCAGGTGAAGCGGCACCTGTGCACCTTCTGCGGCAAGGGCTTCAACGACACCTTCGACCTGAAGCGGCACGTGCGCACGCACACAGGTGAGGCAGGCAGGCACCAAACGGGGAGCGTGGGGCCGAGTTGTTTCTCTGGACGGATCACGGGCTGGGGCACTTGGGCTGAGCTGTGTCAGCTGAGGCCAGGCAAGACGCCTCTCCTAGCCTCGGTTGGCCCCTGTTAAAATGGGGATAATGGAGTAAGTGCTGGTGATGTGCAAGGTAAATCACTGGAGGATTAGAACGTGTGACGCAAGTGCTGGGGTGGGGGTGGGGGTGGGATGGGCAGGTCGCAGCGCTGCTGGAATGTGGCTCCAGTGCCAGGAGCTCACGTTCCTTCCTGGGAAGTAAGCCTGCTCAGTAACCTCATGTCTCTAGGGAAGGAAATGCACCCCACACCCCCAGAGCTCCCTGGCCTTCTCCTTGAACCTGCAGGCAAGCATCTCCCGCCTTCCTCAGTTTGTTCCAGGCAGCTCTGGGGGTGCCCTTCTGGCCTCTCCTAACCCGTGATTGCACCCACAGCCTCATCAGTTTGGTCTCAGCGTCCAGGCTGCCCTGCTTTGTTGAGGCCCAGGGGTGTACCCCTCTGCGGAGTGGTCCCTTGGGGAGAATCCTAAGGGTGCCATTTCCTGCCCAAATCCCCAACTCTGGGCAGAACAAAATCCTGGGTCCCATCTTCAAATCCCCATTGTGCGCCTCCAATCATTTCAGCCTGTCTTAACCCTTTCAGTGCCAGTCTTCCTTGAGGCAGCCTCGTAGAATTCTCCTTGGGGAGCCCCCCACAATCCCTACAGCCCTTTCAGAGTTTGGGGTTTCCCTGGTATTTGGGTGGGAAACAGCCAACCCCCGGCCCTTCTTAGACCCTCGGGATTTCGCTGTCTTTTCTTTTTAAAGATTTATTTATTTATTTGAAAGTCAGAGTTACACAGAGAGAGGAGAGGCAGAGAGAGAGAGGTCTTCCATCCGCTGGTTCACTCCCCAATTGGCTGCAATAGCCAGAGCTGTGCCAGGAACCAGGAGCTTCTTCCAGGTCTCCCATGCAGATGCAGGGGCCCAAGGACTTGGACCATCCTCCGCTGCTATCCCAGGCCATAGCAGAGAGCCGGATTGGAAGTGGAGCAGCTGGGACTAGAACTGGTGCCCATATGGGATGCCAGCGCTTCAGGGCGTTAACCCATTGTGCCACAGCACCTGCCCCCTTCACTGTTTTTGCTGGTTCTTATCCTGCTCCCTTATTCTTAGAGCCCCTGCTGCTAGCTGCCCCTGACCTGGGAGGACTGTCCCTCACCTTACAGAGTGGACACGTGTGCTGCAAGGTGGCTGTGTTTTCCATTTAAGCGTAGCACACATCCAGGAAAGGGCACATGTCATTAAGTGCCACCATCAGTGAATTTTGGAATTTTTACAAAGCAAACCCAGGCGGCTCACATGCACACCAAGAATCAGGGCATTCCCGGCCTGCAGGGGTCACTACTTCCTTCTCCCCATGGGAAACCACTGTCCTGACCTCTTAGAGCACAAATTAGTGTTGCCTGTTTTTGAACTCAATAGAAATGGAGTGCTATGGTATGTCCTCTACTGGATCTCACCAAGACTTCTCTTTTTCTTTAAGTTTTATTTATTCTGTTTGAAAGGCTGGAGACAGATGGAGAGAAGTCTTCCATCCACTGGTTCACTCCCCAATGCCTGCAACAGCCGGGAGCCAGGAACTCTGTCTGGGCCTCCCCCATGGGTGGTGGGAACCCAAGTAGTGGAGCCATCATCTGCCGCCTGCCGTAGTGTGCATTAGCAGGGAGCTATGTCAGAAGCAGAGGCAGGACCCGATCCCAGGCAGTCTGATATGGGAGATGGGCGTCCCAAGCAGCAGCTTAGCCCACTGCACCACAGTGCCCATCCCAGAGGCTGCTCTTTTGAATCTTTGTACCGGTTGACCAGTGGAAGTTTAACCTCTGGGAGGCCAGGCTGACCATTAGCTTGGGGTAGGAAGGATGCTTAGGGAGTGGTGGTAATGGGGTATCCCCAGGGCAGTAAATGGTCCCGTAGGTGGTGGTAGGGGTCTGGTAGGGTAGTGGGGGATCTTTCAGGTTGTGCAGAGACCCTAGGCTGTTGATACTGATAGACCTACAGACAACTGACCCTAGGCGCAACCAGGGGCACTCAGTAAATCATTTGTCTTTGGCTGCCCTGGGAGGTTTTCTCTGCTCTAGCTATGTCTGGGGATGCACTTGAGGCAATGGCCTGGCTGGGTGGATGCTGGGGTCATGACTCTGACCTTGGCCTCTAGGACACTGTGAAGGGAGATCAGAGGCTTAGCTGCCAGGTTTGCCTCCTGCACACTGACCTGATGCCCCATTGACCACTAGGGCCTCCTGATCCTTGGAAGAGTTTGTGAGTTAACTCAGTCACTTGATCGTAGCGACTAAGTTAGTTGCCTGCAAGACTTTGATTAGCTTTTCATCTTAAATTTTTTTTCTTTTTTAAAGATTTACTTATTTATTTGAAAGGCAGAGTAGTAACTGAGAGAAGAGAGAAAGAATGAGAGAGAGGTCTTCCATCCACTGGTTCACTCCTCAAATGGCCTTAATGGCCCAAGCTGGGTCAGTCTTAAAGTCAGGAGCCAAGAGCTTCTTCTGGTCTCCCATGTGGATGCCGGGGCCCAAGAACTTGGATCATCTTCCTCTGCTTTCCCAGGCCATTAGCAGGGAGCTGAATCAGAAGTGGAGCAGCTGGGACTCGAACTGGTGCCCCTATGGGGTGCCAGCACAGCAGGCGTGTCAAATCCTGTTTTATGTTAAGGACTTGAGCACCCCTGCAGAGTTTGGCATCCTTGGTGGGGGGGATCCTAGAACCAATCCTAAATGGGTACCAAGGGAGAACTGTACCAAACTGTGAGGAGGCTGGCACTCTGGCCTCGCTTCTCCAGCATGGTGCACGACACCTCCTGGGCACCACAGTGCTGGCCCCATAATTTTGATTCTTAAAGTGATTAATAGATCAAATTATGGAAACTTCTTGGGCATATTTTCCCTGCCCTGACTTATTTTCTGGTGGAAATGTGCCAGAAGGAAGAGACCAGGGCTTACGGACAGATTAGCAGGTGGCAAACAGCAGGTGCTGGGAGCTAGAGGAACTGGCCAGCGCCGTCATCTCCTGAGCTTTGGACAAACAGGGGCAAAGAGCAGAAATCAGGGGTTCTCAGACTTTTAGTTCACGGAACCAGCATCAACCAAAAGGCCTCAGCAGAGTTCGATGGGAACCTGGTGTTTTGCCTTTGATGAGCTGAGTATGTTGCAGGTTTGCTGTGGGCTCTTCTAAGCTGGTGTGGGAGTTATGTCAGAAACAATGATCCAGACACTTACTTAACTCCAACAGAGCAGATAGCAGTGGTGAGGTGTGAGTGCTTTCGGTCCAGTTAGAAGAGGCCTTGCCAGTGTCAGAGACCTGCCTGGGATGGCAGTGCCCTGCTCGGAGGAGTGTAGCTGCAGTACTGAGGACAGTGGCACAGACGGCAGGCTTAATCCGCCTCCCTTTTGTATCTCTTCCTACCCCTGTATCTACTGAAGGGACAAGGTCTCTAAGCAAAGACTGTAAGCACAAGGAAACTGGAACCTGAAACTGTCTTCCATCAACACCCAAATGGATGAAAGGAAAAAATTAGGATTTCTTCCTTTGGACATAACTTCATCAAAACAGGATAAATCAGAGCTGTGTGTGTGTGTGTGTGTGTGTGTGTGTGTGTGTGTCTGAGAGAGAGAGAGAGAGAGAGAGAGGGAGAGGTGGTCTGTTGATGTCCAATTGAAGATTGGAAGAGAGGAATCAACCAGTGCACAAAAAAAACCCTAACATTTTGTGAGCACACATCAGCAAACAATGGCTGTTTTCAGTCCAAGTTGATTGAGGGCTCCTAGGAGAAACCCATAAGGGAGCGAGGGAAGCCAGCAGAGGAGTGGTCTCTGGGCCTCATCCTGGGACACCTGGGAGTGTGACCGGCACCCAGAGTTGTCCTGTGGACCTCCAGGCCAATGGGGTCCTTTCCCTGCCCATTTGAGCCAGACACTGGCTGAGGGCCACAGCTTCCCTGGGCTAGGACAGGCCTGCTCACCTGGGCGTGCCGGAAGTCAGGCTTGGTGTCCATTTGTTGAAGGGGCAGCTAGGAGCCGTTGGCTGGCAGCACCCTTGACGACGAGGGACCAGTGTTAACCAGAAGAGGGGGTGGTGGTCTTGGTGGGAAACCAGCGGCGTCCACGACACGCATCATGGAGGGTGTTGCCCTGTTCAGTGGGCAGGACACTGAGGTCAGAACCATGGCTGTTGGGTTCAGTTCACAGCTTCGCAGCTCATGGAAACATCATGAGTCCGTTTATAGACTGCACTTTGGGGTTTATTTCTGTATGTTGGGTTAAACCAGCTGGGATGCTTCCTAAGAACGGCTGTGTGTTAAGGAGATGGGTTGGGGGTGGTGGCGGCGGCAGCGTTGGCAGGGACATCGGGATTGTAGTAACCCCTTGCTTGCCTGCGCTGGACTCTGCAGTGAGCGTCCCCACACCTTGACCGGCTCTCTGAGGTGTCAGCCACAGGCCGGGAGCTCACCTCCAGGGGGCCTGACTCTGGGCTGGCTCATTCTGTGAGTACTGCATTTCCGGAAGTGCCTCTTTCATTCATAAAATGACTGCTTACTCTGTAAACTATGGAAAAAGCTATGGAGAAGAAAGTGTAAGCCATGCAGATGGGGGCGGGGTTCACAGGCCGTGTGGCCCGAGGAGATAGGAAACTCAGTGGAGGGGGAAGCCCAGTCCTGTTCCCAGGTCACTGGGGTGTGGCCCCTCCCCTTGCCTTATCTACCATCAAGGCTGCATTGAGAGGGATGAGAAGGCAAACAAATCCCATCTAGATTAAAAAAAGAAGCAACAATGGTGTCTTTGTTTGAGCCCGAGGGGAAGGATGACTGGATTGGGAAAAATGCAGGTTGTGAGAAGTTTGGAGTGGAGCAGATGCAGCCGAGAGAAAGAAGTGACCCCTGCACGGTGGAGTGCCGTCTTGCGAAA